ACAATCCTAGTTGAATGAGACTTTAAAGGCATTTTACCGAGCTCCTTGGAGAAATTGAAACTCTTCACAAACATGTGTCCCACAAACATACATACACACATGTGCACGTGCCCCAGTCACTTGCCAAATAGTACAACGTGCTTCTTTCATTTAAAAGGTGATCTTTTTCTGTGGATGTTTGGCTGCCTTTCTGAGAAGGAAAATCCCCACCAAATGACTTCCAGGTTCATAGTTCAATTGCTCTCTGGAAGAGCTTCCTGGGGAATGATTTGGAAACTTGAAGGTAGCTCAAGGTGGAAACTTGACATGGTGAACACTCCTATCCTGCACTTGCCAAGGTCACGAATTTCTCTTTAACTGGACAGCCATCTGGAGCACCAGAGTGCTTCTGCCCCGGAGAGTGGGTCTCCTCGCGCGTGCTTTTCTCACCTGCCACAGAGGGTACTTCCTTCTTAAAGGTCCCCATGACACCCCATATCTACTTCAAAGACTCTGAGGCTCAGCACTGCTATGACTCATTTGCCTGGCTGTGTCCTCACTAGGTCGCCAACACTAGACGCTGGAGGAAGCATCTTACTGTTAAATTCTTGGTGACTAGCTTAATGCCTGACACATAGGAGGAACACTTGGCTGGATGTTCGTTGAATGAATGACTGAGGGCATGAATGTCTTACTCATCTTTGCATCCCATGCAGTGTTTAAGTATTCTAAGTACACAATAAATTTGTGTTACATCAGTCTTTTTTTTCAGAACACATAGGGTGACCCGGCTGTCTAAAGCAGGCTATCTTGTGACCAAGCCCTTGGGAATCTGCAGAGGCCATCTACTTTTTTTGTAAACCTGGATGTGTTATGGAACCTCTCCTTTTCCTTCAGAAAGCTTGGAAGGAAACTTGAATTTCAGATAGAAGAAACGGTGCATGTTGCGTGCATGGGTTTGTACCCAGAGCTTCCTCGAACCTGTCCCAAGGGAGGGGCAGCTGAGAGGCAGTGAGGCATTCCATGGTGGCCTGCGACGAGGCTTCCTGTCATAGGGAAGGAGGCAGCAGGAGAAGAATAATGGCCCACTGGTGTGAGCATGAACACAGACTGCGTCATGAAAGACAACCAGCTCGCATCTTCCCCAGCTCCTCTGAGAAATGCAGATTCTTCGCACACATAACGGAAAAGTGTTCTAGTCCATCCCCTAACCCTTCTAAGGCCCCTCGGCTCATCCTACACAGCTCATTACGCTGCCAGGTGGCAAAGGAAAAGCAGCAAGATCTTCAGGCACAGCACCGCCACCGATTGCAACGAAATGCCCTTGACCTCTAGCCTGTTGGCAGTCGAATCTTCAGAATAAAGACGAGCGATTATTTTCCCTGATAGTAACAAAAAAGATGATAATGTCAAAGATTCAGTGTTTCGTCATCTGGAAAGAAATGAAGGCCATAATGAAAGCCTTCGAATACCCTGTTGATGGCACTGTGGTGGCATTTAGGACCCTGAGGCCTAAGTGTCTTTGTTTAGACCTCTGTCCAACTCCTGGATTAAGAGCAACTCAGAGAAGGGACCTAGCTTCCGTCTTGCGTCCCCAGAGCTCAGTACAGTACCAGGCACAAAGCAACCAGACAACCCATGTGTTTCCAGGGAACAGCGCCTGATGCAGGGAAGGGGGAGCATCCACATGGACCCATCCACCAAATTCCAGAACATCGCATTCAGGAGTGTTCCTTTGAAACCTGAAGGAGACAGTTTTCCTAGGAATAAAAGAAAAAGGGGACTTTGACATGGCAGCCAGGTCCCTCATTCAGCAAGTGCTGCTTGACCTCTGTGCCTACACTTGGCAGGCCGTAACCTCAGGACATAGGGATGAAGGCGCAAAACCTGGGTCCAGCTTGGCCACAGGCCAGCTAAACAGCCTTGGGCAAGTCCCTTAGCCTTTCTGGGCTTCAATTTCTGCACTGGAATAAAGCCTACACTGGTGCACAGTTCTAACATTCTAGTAGCTTCTGATTCAAAAAACATACCCAGTGGAAAATACAGATTTAAGAAGAGTTCAGGAAAAATGTGCAGAATAGCCATCTGCCTCTGGTCAACTGTTACGCTGTCACAAAACCTCCTCTGGGGATGGCTGGGACGTTGGATGGGCCCTAAGTGGCAGTTGTCACGTTCGAGGTACACATCGTACTAGGATGAAAGGATGCCTAGGGCCTCGCAGGCCTGGCTCGCAAAGCAAAGTAAGGCCTGTGTCCTGGGCAGGAAAACATGTCGTCGCGGCCGCCGGGGGGGCTCTGCTGCCTCTCGGCTCGAGTGTGCTCTTCACTGCACTTCCAAGTGGACTGTTCATCTTACAGACTACATCCGGAGTCCGCAGGTGTCCCCAGGAATGCTTTATTAGAGAACACTGGCAGGAATCGTGCCAGGGGCAGTAGGAGAGATGGAAGCAGAGCTGGAGAAGGATGCCATAATCAGAGATGCGGAGCAGCGGGGTTATAGGAGACACGGCTCTAAAATGGCGAGTGAGAGGTTTGCCTTCTGTGTGTTCCTTAGAGATCTCTAGAAAGAACGGATCCCCAACCCCAGATGCAGAACTAACCCAGGAAGGAACCCTAATAAGCCCTTTCGTGAGCCAACCTCGTAGGAAAGATGTAGAATGTCCTTCCTTTTGCTTCCTGCCTGATTCCATCTGAACAAAATCTCGGGGCAAGTAGGAATGAGGAAGAGGAATGCCTGAGGCCATCTCGGGCCTGTGCCTGAGCCTGGGCACGGTGTGCAGCCTGAGGCTCTGAGTCAGTGAGCGCCACGTCAGTTGGCTGGGTCACTGTGGACAGTTTGGCCATCCCCTTCCTAACCCCAACACTACCGCTGAGATGTCCCTTCCCTTCCCCTTCATGATTACGGGGTTTCGCTGTGTTCGACTTTCTCTGCATTATGAACACTCACAAGGAAAGACTGTCATACGAGTCATCTTTCAGTCTCCAGGCTCTCCCTCAGAGTCCCTTGACAAAGTAGGCAGGGAGCCAACTTCTCCACAGCCTCAGCTGCGAAGCAGGAGGTTCTGAGGAATAACCAGGCCAAGGAAGGCCACAGGTGAAGGACAGACCTTCAGCTTGAGGAGACCGTGGTGAGCTGTGCTTGCATTTCTAGACAACTCCAGGACCATTCCCAGTCTCCCTTTGTCATCCGTGGAAGGACCCCCAAACCTGTCATCTTTGCTCTGCATTGCACGGATTGGACGAATAGTGTGCATTGCACACCACGGAGCCCTCTATCCCTGCTGCTTCAGTTAGAGCTCTCTCTCCAGAAACACACACCGAAGGACGTCAGTGTATTAATTATTTCAGGGGAGCTGGTTCTCCTCTTGACAGCAAACAATGCCAGGAGGAAAGAAGTGGAAGATGGAAGGAGATGCAGAGTGGACAGGAATGGACTTCCTCTTGGGACAGAAGCTTCTCTGGACCTTGGAGCCTTTACAGTGTATAATAGATGTGTGGACTGCACTCACATAGTGCTTTTCAGCCAGGGACTTGGAGTTATTTTGCAAAGTTCGGCTCCTTCAGTTCCCTAATAAATAAAATTGGAACAATCAGAATGGTCCCAGACAGAATGTGAGCCAGGGAATACCCTTTTCCAGAAGTGACGTCAGACGCATTTAATTTAAAAGCATCCCCAGTGCCTAGGGCTGAGCCGGACACATGGTAGCCTCTCAATACAGATTTGTTTGATAAATGAACGGCTGAACGATTGAATGAACTTATTTCTGAGGGTTGCTCCAAACCTTTCAATTTGATTAAACAGATACTAGTTCATGCAGCCAAGTCACGGAAAAGAAGCTTCAGCTCAGCACAAACAGAACCTACTCCTTACTTTAAACGCCTCTCAGAGAAAAAATGTATTTCAAACGAGAACACCCAGCTGGTCTAATTGTCCCGGAAGCTGCTTGGGTTTAAAATGTTCAGATTTGCTATGGCAACTCACACGCAGTTCATATAACATTTCCTGATGATCATTCATTGAAACATAAGGAAAAGGACTTAGCATACAAATTCAGAAATCAGCCTCGTAATTGGTTAGCATCAGTAGAAATCAAACATGTTCTAGTCTTCCTGAAAGGTCGGTTAAGCCATGTGTAAGTTTACTAGAAGGTTGTTTTCTTATGATGGGAAGTGAGGACCCACGTACGTTAATTCTGTTCCTATAAGCCTGTGGTTTGTACAACCTGGATTCAACCCACTTTTTGTCTTCCGGATCTAACCCTTACCTATCTATTCATTTCAACTCCACAAACCTGGGTTGAGCAATTGCCGCATGCCTGGCCTTGTGCTCTGGGGGACATGGCCATATTTTTTATTGACTCGGGAAAACAAGAAAATTCATCACCAGCTAAAGTATTTAACAACAGTGTGTGAGAGGCCAAGTTCGGATGACACGTTGGTTATGAGCACCAACGGGCCTGCATTTATTCAGTAATTACACAGGGTCGGGAACACTGCTGTAAGAGGAACATTCTTGCCCAAACCACACAGATGCCAAGGCATTTATTGAGCGGAAGGATTGCCTAACAGTAGCTATTTAGTGTGATAATGGCGTTTGATAGTTTGGACACAAACACCATTGTCACACTCCACAGCTCTGCTAAGGAAAGTCTGTAACTTCACCTCCACACTCCACCATTGCCGCTGGTCACCATCAGGGAACCTTGGCAGCTCCACATAGTGACCTGAGCAGAGAAAAGAGGGATCACGAGTGCGGGGAGCATCTTGAGGAACGGAAAGAGAGAAAAACGTCAGGCTTCTGTGTCTGGAACAGTTGAGCTAACAAAGCGACCCATTGCCTTGTGTCCACTGTTACCACCCCACGGAAGGCCTCCCACTGACGGGAATGAAACTTCCTATGGAAACAGATGGCAAATCTGTTTGCATCGATTTTCTAAGAGGGTTAAGAGAGAAAGAATCCTTAGAGGGAATTGATTTTAGAAAACAAAGACTCAGTGAAAGGCTGTATTATAAACTGTAGTGATATGACCAGATTCATGGGCCCTCCTCAACTCTTACCTTCCCATCTATCCCAATCCACTGTCGATAAATATAGTAAGTTCTGCAGTCTAAGAAAATTAAAATGATTTTGCATGGGGATATAGCATTTGGATGTGCTGTAATTTACTCTCTGGAACATCTATTGCATACCAAGGCATCCGATGGTGCTCAGATTTTAACTCTTACTCACCTTGGTCATTTTCCACCAAAGTAGAGGGTGGGAGATGAGGGGAGATAAGGAAAGGAGGGCAGGGAGAGAGGGGAACGGTTGAATTTTTTGTTTACAATACTTATTTTCTAGAAAAAGGGAGCCTCCTATGAATAAATCCCTTCTGTTTTCCTGGCTTTCCTGTTAAAAATGATTTCTAACTGATACACAAACTCCTGCGCACCATGGAGTATGAGAGGAAATAAATCATTTTACCTAATCCTTTATTTTCCCCCAAATGCTAGGAAAGGCAAAGGTTGGAGGCCAGTTTGTTTTTTCCCAGGATAACTGAGTTGTTAACTTTTGACCAGAGCCTTGCTTTGGCCATAGAATTGGCTCATTCTTAACAACTGAATATGCACCCTTCTGCATTTTTCAGTAAAAATGGCTCTTATTCACATGCAGACCAGGAAATCACCCTCTTCGACCTAGAATGTGCAGTTATTAGCACACCATCTCAGTCTCCATGGGATGGGGTGTGGAACCCTGCCTCTTTTTTCCCCTTACCTTCTTGCCTGGGTTGATTTGCTTATCCTCCTATGAAGCGCCTGACTTCCTTTGGTTCCAGTCTGTGACCCTCACTTGTCCTGACAGGGTGTGATCATTTGCACGGCAGTGGGAACGTGCCACTTGGCCCACTGGTAGACCCGCTGTCTTCAGGGGGAGCTCTTCACCTGGGTGGTTTTGGCGTGACTCACACCAAATACAAATTCTAGAATTCCAGCTGGCCCCAGTCACACCAACCCTCGGCACTCTGGGCACAGCCATGGTGGACACACTCTTATGCTTCTTCCCCAGAGCCAGGTTCATCTGCTTTGTCTTTGCCTGAGGGACTTAGAACAGAAACCCCCACTTCCTGGTCACTCATGGGATGTTGCTGACCATGACAAGAGGCTCCAGAAATCTCTTGGCCTCAGTCGGGAAGAATCACTGGGAGGTGAACAATTCACTGGTTAGAAGGGTCCCGGTAGGACATGCTTGGAGAGCCGTCCATCGGGCAAGAGCTTGGGCCCATTTCACCTCTCAGGACGTGACAGCAGGGTCTGAGCATGCCTGCACTTCTCCAGGTGGGCTCTGTATGCTTGAGGCATCTTAATAATCTGCAAAAGACAGAAAAGGGAAGGAAGAGTAAAGAGGGAAGGAGAGAGAACGTTAATGTGTTTCAGGTAAAGCTTACAAAACTCCTGTTTTTATTTATCACCACCTCTATTTCTTTGGTCCAAGAAATTTATCTCAAGCAAAAATCTGTTGAATTTTAGAAAAGATTTTTGTTTTCTACCAATTTGTATACAGATTTACCTATAAGGTTGTCCACGGAGCCCCTGTTTATAATAGCAAAAATTGCAAACAACCCAAATGATAGGAAAAGGGTAATATATTTATAATATAACCTAGTCATTTAAGGTGACATTGTAGAAAAATGGTTGTTGACTTGGAAAGAGATTCGAGGTATGTGACTGAATGAAGAAGTAGTTTACAGAACAGCATACGCAGTATGAGCTCTTTTCTGTGACGAATGCATATACACCCAGGGCAAAAACATCAAATGTTAACCTTGTTATCTTTGAGTGGTGGAATTACAGTTTGGGTTTTTTTCCTCCTTTTGCTTCTCTGCATTTGTTAATTTTTGCAATTAATGTAGTACTTTTGTAATGAGAAAAATAATTAGAATTTCAACAATTTTTTAAACAATTTCTTTTCTTTCTTTTTTTTTTTTTGGTGGATCCCAAAAATTCCTTCTTGCAAAACACTCTTCTGAAATTCGGAGGTTAGAGCTTATGCTGCTTTGTCGACAAGCTTGCAATGTGAGTGCTGTGCAGACAGAGGAGCCTAAGGCTAATTTCTTAGCAAATTATTAGTGAAATACTTTATTATGCAGAGCAACAATTTTATGGTCTTACTGCATCCATCAATAAACACATATTTATTGACTGCCTATTATGCTCTCAGCCTTGCGAACAATTTTTTAAACGTAGTTATATCAGCCCTCATCTTTCAATGCTTCTTTGTTTCTGTAGGAGTGGGTAAACCGTCAACTGGCAAAGCAGTTTACACGAGCAAGTGGAATGTTTTCGGTTTCTTCAAATGCCAACCAGTAATATGTCACTAATTAAAAAAAAATTAGAAGTGGTTAATGCCAGGATCTCCTTGGATATATATTTTTTTTAATTTCACAGTCATTTCGCATTCTACAGCTTAAAAAAAATCTTTTGTTCTAGTACTTTCCAATTTAACAAGTGCACTTAAATAGTACCCGTTAATAAAGAACAGAATGTTTATAAGCTGGTTGAGAAATAATTATACCTGTTACTTCCTGTGAAAAAAGTAATGCATCAGGCAAAGACACTGCGTGTTATTCAGGGTAATGTGAGCAGATGCCCGCACCGTTTCCCACAGCTCAGAAAAGACCTTGCCTTTTCTAAGGATCCTCTGCCTTACTTCCTAAAAGAGGTCAACTGCTACGCATACCTAAACGCCTGGCTATCAAAACTCAATTTCTGTGCAGTGTCCCCATCTCCCTTCCCTCACTGTCCCAGCCTGGACCGAATCTGTAGATATTTCTAGTTGCTGTGGTCAATTCAGAATGTTGTTTTCCCACTGAGCCTGTGGGTACGAAAAACAGGCTAGCCTGGGTTTGCTCCTTTTTTTATGTCCTGGGTTTCTTTCCATAAATGGGGAGTGAGAGTTCACTAAGGAGGAAACCTTTGCAAGCCTAACCTTCTAGTAAATTCATCAGCCTGTTAAGTATTCTGTGTGCCTCACAGCTCCTTGATCTTAGATTCCAAAGTACCGGGAATATCACAAGACTCCCTATTCTTTCTCACGTCAGATCTGGGCATGAGCGGCTTGTCTTTGCTTTCAGATTTTGTTTCCCAGGCGCTGAGAATGTTCTAGGGCCAACCCTGAGGACTAAGTGCTGCCAGGATCTGTGAAGTGTCACTTTTCTGCAAATCTAACCCATTAGCCTAAAAAAAAAAAAAAAAAGATTTCTTAAAAAGCAAAAGATAAATGGAGATGCTTTTTCTTAATTCCAAATCCACATTTACTGTCATTTCAAACAGATGTTTTAGAGACATCAATTTGATTCTTTAAGGCTGTTCTAGTCTAGAGGAAGGCAAAGGAAGTCGGTATCATATGCCTGAGACTTGTCATTTTGAAAGTACATGGAAATTTTAAAATAGAATGTTCTTGTCAACAAGGAGCAAAGGCACATATCTTTTTTTTTTCACTGAAATCCATCTACAAGGGAAAATCTGGAAAGCTCCTTATGCCTGCAATTATTGGCCACGCTTATCCCCAACCAGGGGTGAAAGTGGGGGTGGGAGGATGATTGGGAAAGTTCTCAGGCAGGTTGGGGTCTCAACAGACTCTTTTCAAAGAGAATTGTTGAGGTTTGGGGATTCCTGAGAACCGGTTTTATTCCTGCGCAGGTGTCTGTTTTCAGGGTCGTCAAGGGAACAAGGCTTCAGACAAAGGAACAACCCTGAGGCTGGCTTTTCAGAAGTATCAGAGGGGAACACAGGGAGCCTTGCGGGGTGCTTGCCCCAGAGCATGGGGAAGGGGAAGGATTCCTGGCCAAACCAGCCCCCTAATGCCAATTATCCTGCTGATGGGATCTTGTGTGAAGGCCTCGGGGCTACTGTTCAGTCAGACCATCCTTGGACAGGAAGGCCACTCCAAGGGCACCGATAAAAGTCGGGGCGTCTCTTGGCCCTCAATCCTCCCTCGCTCCTCTCCTCCGCTGGGCTGAGAGGAGCCTCCAGGAAGGTCTCCGGTTTTCCCAGGCTTGCTGAAGAAACAGAGCAATCATGGCCGACAAATTCAAATAGGCTGTGCTTAACACTTCACGTCGCTCAGGTGCTGGGCGGGCTTTCTGGAAGCACCTGGGTGCAGCGCGCCCCTGTTTCTCAGAGTCGTGGCTACCCCCAAGAACGGCCTGATTCCCCCAGGGCAGCTGGAAGGGGCTCGGGGAGAGGGGTGCTTACCTTCCAGTCCGCGCTGGTCGCCTCCGGGCCTGGGCCCTCGCCTGGCCCGCGGCCCGCGCCGTGCAGGCTCCCGGTGTGTGCGGGCTGAGCCCTGAGCTTCTGGGGGGTGTAGGCCTTTCCGCTCTCCCTTTATGGGATCCAGGGTTTTAAAGTAAACAGTTCTTTCTCTCTCTGATAAGTCACATTAAATTATTGATTCGGAGGCTGGGAGGGCATGACCTTAGCCCACTAAGTCATCCTCACCTTTGGTCAAGCACACTAAGCCAGGCCGGGCCGGGAAGCCCAGCGGCGCCCCCCTCCCCCTCCAGGGCCGGGTGGCGGCCTGCAGCCCAGGCAGAAATGGGGGCCGGCGGGGGGGAAGGCAGGCAGGCAGCTGCACCTCCTGAACACGTCCTTATCCCCCCCCCAAAACCTGGGTGTTTTTACTCTTTCCTTACAGAAAGACTGCAGTTTATGACATTGTCCCCACCTCAGATTTCAAGACCCGGAGACGTCGCTGGGTCATAGGAAGCCATTAAATAAATTAAATATATCCTTGACTCATCCTACTTGGAGCTCTTGACCAATATTTGGAAGCCGGTCTCAATCTCCTCTTGAACTGATCATTTCTGATGCAGTTCCAATCTGTTTGTTCACGCCAACAATTATTAAGCTCCTCCTTATCTGCTGAGCTCTTGTAATGGAAAGGTGAGCAAGACTGACGGAGTTTACAGACTGGTAGGAAGACAGATCCACACAGAGCTCAACAACCATTGGGGACTGCCGTCGGTCCTAAATGTGGTCTGTTAGCTGCTATTATTGTTTTTATTTTTAAAATTTGTTTTTTTAATTCCAGTAGAATTAACATACAGTGTCGTATTAGTTTCCGGTGTACGATCTAGTGATTCGACACTTCTTTACATAACTGCTATTATTTTTAATGTCTCTGATCATTTCTTTTCCTCCTCAGGCCACTCCGTCATTTTGCTTTCTTAGAAAGGAAGCTACTTGTCACCCTCCCTAGTAATAAATGCGATGTGAAGTGAGGTCTGGTTACCCCAGTCTGAGCGCATGGTGACCTGAGACATTGGGTGGCCCTAACTAGCAGGTGTTGTCATTTTGCCCTACCCTTACTTGTAGTGATTTGGTTTCTTTTCAGGTGCAAGTGGAAAGCAAAGTATGCTGTGGCCTTTTTTTTTTTCTTTTTTCCCCTCTAAGAACTGGTCTCAAGAAATGAGCCCGGGGCGCCTGGGTGGCTCAGTCGGTTAAGCGTCTGCCTTCGGCTCAGGTCATGGTCCCAGGGTCCTGGGATCGAGTCCTGCATCGGGCTCCTTGCTCAGTAGGGAACCTGCTTCTCCCTCTGCTTGTGCTCTCTCACTCCGTCAAACAAATAAAATTTTTAGAAAAAAAAAATGAGCCCAAAGAGTTGCCTGCTATTTGGTCCTGCTACTGCTCCCTAAGTCCCTGTGGGAACCCCCTCCCCTGGTTGCCTCAGGCCACCTGGGATCACCCTGCAGATCACCCCTAGAAAAGACCGGAGTCTTACCCAAGAGGACTGAGGGATTGGCTGTGACCTTCCAAAGGCCGACACATTCCTATGGTAAAAGCCCAAATATTCATCCCGAAAAGAGACCATTCTGGAGCCCTGTGGAAATTGCCAGGGCCCTGTGCGCTCCGGCTTTGTTCCACGGATGTGGCGGCAGCAGGATTTTTCTAAGCTTGTGTGACTGGCACGGCCTGTGGTTAACTTGCTTTGTAGTTTTCAAATTGTCCTCCTGGTTACAACAATCATCGTTCTTTTCAGAATCACGGTTGGTTTTCCTCCTTGAAAGTGAAATGGATTCCCCAGAGCCTCCCATGTAGACATTCTTTCAAAGGGCTGGACGAATCCCTTACTCCCGGGGCTTCACCACATAAACATCCGGATCATTTTCACCAGCTTCTCTGACTTATGAATGCTGCATTTTTGCTGAGACAGTTTTCTCTTTGTTTGGAAAACCATGATGAAGACAAATGTTCAACTTTTAGATGATTTTCTTTAAATTCCCAGACATGGTATTTGCAAGGATTCTGGATTGCCAAGAAAGGATAAATTGTGTCCTATTTATGATCGTTACCAAACTTCTTCCAGCAAATCCCACAACCCCTACTTCAGGTGCCTTTAAAATTGACTTTCTTTTTTACATTCCTTTAAGGTAAGATAGATTTGAATCCTGCAAGGTTGGAGTTCAGCTTGGAATGTCTGCATCCCTAGTGTTTGTACTCAGATACAGGCTACAAAACTGGGCTTCAGGCGCAGGGAAAATCAAAATCAGGTAAGTTTCCACTGGTGGCACGTGGAAGTTGACCCCGCCCCCTGGGGGGTGACTCTGTTTTCTCGTCTTTCTGCCCAGAGCAGCAGAAATGGAAAAAAGCCTTCCGTTTCAGTGAAGAATGCCGAATTTTGCCGGGAGGGAGGCAGAAGCTTGGGAACTGGGAATCCTGGGTCTCCTTTGAAATCCTTTGCCATTTGCATTTTTGCCTTTGGACAAGACACTGTATTTCTGAGACTTTAGTTACCTCTCTAGGTAGCAAAGCTGAGAATACTTGCTTGCCATTTGCTCTGAAACCTTAGGTGAAACAGGAGATGGATGAGTTTTTATTAATGAGTAGAGAAAAACAAAGATGGACAGAGAGCGATGACAAGGGGCAGGAACCGTATGGACTAATCAGTGATGTACTGGACGAGGACAGGAAGAGACCAAAGGAGTCAAATTTGCCACGTGTGGGAAAGGGCCAAGCCCAGAGGGACTGGAAGGACGCCAAACTGTCACAGCCTCAGATTTGCCACCAAGAGAATCAAAGTCACTTTCAAACCAGTGTCACAATCCAGGGCCTCAGTGAAATGCAGAAGGTTGACTGGTCCTGGTTTCATAATGGTAGTTGCACGCAGGCCATCTTCTGCCACTAAAGGTCCTGTTCTCATGGTGGGAACAGGCTCAGAACACCAGTAGGCATGGGGGGGTCAGGAGCCTGACTGCCTTGGGAGGTGGGGTGGGGGGGCTGAATTAACAGTAATTCCCTAAGAACATCTCATTTTCAAATTTCCCTATTATCTCCAAAATCTTTTTTTAGCGCTTCTCTTTTCTTCTTTCCTTCTTTTTTAAAAACTACAATCCAGTAAAGATTCATGCCTTGTATTTGGTTTTTCTTCCCTCGTTGTTTTTTTTTTTCAATTTTTTTTAAGATTTTTTATTTTTAAGTAATTTCTACACCCAACACGGGGCTCGAACTCACAGCCCTGACAGAGCCAGCCAGGCGCCCCTCCCTCATTGTTTAAATGACAAAAGTAATCTAGATGCTCTCTAGCCACTGTCAAAATATTATGTTTCCATTATGGGTATTCCAGAGATTGGCCACTCTTCTGGGACTTCTAATGAGAAAGGCCCAGACGTAGGCCCTTTAAACCTTTAAATCTTTAAACTTGGCTTCCCTCCCCCTCCTGCAAATGAGCAAAACTCTCTTAAGTAAATCTTCTTAAACATCAAACAAGAAACTCCAATGAGACCTCATTCATTCACTCATTCATGGAAGAAATATTTGTTGAGGGTCACAATGTTCTCAGCACTATTCTAGATACTGGGTAGACAGCAGCAAAAACCAACCAACCAACCAACCAGTCAACCTACACTGAACTGCCTTCCCTTTTGGAGTTTATATCCAGGAGGCAAGGAATAAAAAAAATAATTAAAGAAAGATAGAGTAGGGGGTAGTGAGTTTGGGGGAAGGGCTCAGGTTAAAATAGTGTGATATCTGAGGTGGGGCTTGAGCAGAGAGCAGGAGGTTAAAAGGTGAACCATGAGGGTACCAGGGAGAAGAGCATTTCCAGGCAGAGAGGCCTGCGTGCTTGGATGTGTCTCAGACAGGAAGGCCAGGACAGCCAATGCGGTAGAGAGAGGGGAGAGTTCCACATCCCTTAATCTACGGGACCTAACCCTGTCTCTGGGTAGACAGTGTTAGAATTGAATTGTAGGACACCCACCTGGTGTCTGAGGATTGCTTGGTGGTGAGGAACTCCCTGGCCCCGCAACATACACTCGCACACATTGCAAACTTATGGCCAGGATCTTAACCACATACTTTGGACAATCTCAAATGCCCTCCAGGTTCTGGGTCTCTGCTATAATTTTCTTGAAGGTCAAGGCCAGTTCACAAAGCAAATATATATATGTGTGTATATATATGTGTATACACATATATATACACACACTTGCATGGTTTCCTTGGAATTGAAACTTGGCAGGAAATTCTGAGCCATTTGGTCACTGTAATAACATTCCCTCTGTCTCCCTCTAGGTCGAGTGTTAGGCTGAGCAGATTTGTTTGTTTGTTCGGGGGGGGGGGCAGAGGGAGAGGGAGAGAGAATCGTTTT